GGGGGGGGGTGCTGGTCAGGCAGGGCTCTTGAGGGAGAGCGGGGCGCGAACAGCACTAGACAAGCGCAGATGCATCGACCACAGCATCGATGTGTCTCTAATTGAAGTCGGTTTGGAGCGGCTGGCGACGCCGCGAGGCGAGGCGAGGGGAGTCGAGGACCACACCTAATTAACCAGCGGTTCTCCATTCGAGCCGGACCGCGAGGCGCCTTGCCCCACCACGCCACGCTACGCCCCGCCCCGCCCCGCCACGCCACGCCGCACCTCGCCACGCCCCACCACGCCTTCGTCACGGGCCTCGCCAGCGCGAATGCAGCGCATCGAGCGCGGCGTGACCAACAACATGGGACGGGACGGACGCGCTGTCCCAAGGGGTCGACCCACAAACTCGCTTGAGCTCAAAGATGATATGATGAGGCTGGGGACGGAAGAAAGGGGAGGGGAGATAGCGAACACGTGAGATTATTTTCTTTATCTGGCACAGAACTCCCTGAAAAAGAAGCGACTGTGATCATTGCCATTCTCCAGAATACGACTTTCCTCATCCAGCGGCCAGCGGGAGCGGGCCGACCGCCTGAAGGTAGGCACGAGTTGGGCACGTGAGTGAGGCGGGTTGGCCTACCCCCGGATCCGCAGGGGCTCTAGCTAAAGCTCCGGCTGAGTCTCCAGCTATGAAGCTCCAGATCGAGCTCCAGCACAAGCTCAAGATCCAGCGCCAGCACTCCCTGCAGGCCACTGGACAAGACGGGCCACGACGGGCGCCAGTCGGAGCGGAGCGTTAAGTATTGGATGCCATCGCGTGCACCCGTGACGTCACCGGGGAGCAAGTGGAGGGAGTGGAAGAGGAATGGAAAAAGAGGGGGAGGGGAGCGTAGCTTTCTTCTCCTCCTCCTCCTTCCAGCAGCCCTCCAACGGAGCCGTGACACGGCTTTCGGCAAATTCCAGATAAATCATCCCCTTGCCGCCGCCCCCGCCCCCGCCCCCTCGGCCGGGCCCGCCCGCGGCCCCCTGCCCCTCGCCCGCACCCGGCCGTCTGCGCGCCGTTAACTGGAACACGGTCCTGAGATCACAAAGCGGCACCCCGAGAGGCTCGAACCCGGCTGCATCACGACCCCTCACCTTGGAGCAGCGGAGAGGTGTGGAAGCTGCGCTCGGCGTCGCGTGGCGCGGCGCGCGGCCCAAAGTTTGGACCCGGTTACGTCGCCCGGGCTGGCGGTTGGCGGTCCCGGCGGGCAGCGGGGTCCTGTCGGGTCCGGGAGACTCCGGCGACGAGTACCAACTCCAGCCTCGCTCACAAACACACACGCACTCACACACGAGGGTCTGCGCGCACGACGCTGGGCGTCCTCTCGGCGCGCAGGACCACGAGCCGATCGACGACGGCTCGGCTGGACGCTCGCGGCACTCGGCTCGGCTCGGCGCGGCGCGGGCGCGGGGATGGTGCGTCTGGGCCGTGCGGTGTCTCGCACCGCTCTGCCTGGCTCTGCCCGCCCAAGCTCGCGGGGGGGTCCCTCCCGCCGCGCGCCGCGCCAGCAGCGCCAGCAGCGCCAGCCCTGAGCGCACAAACAAGCAAGGCCCCTCCCCGCCCGCGCCCGCGCCGCCCTCCTGCCTCTCGGGGGTGTGGACGCCGCCGGTAAACACGTGGCCCCCACGGGCATGAGGACGCCGTCGGGACGCCAGCGCGGGACCCCGGAGGAGGAGGGGGGGGGGGGGGGGGGGTGAGCGTCAGTCGCCGTGACGTACAGAGCGCGCCGAGCTGGCCATCCTCGTCGTGACTTTGGATGGTGAGCGTGGGCCTTTGCTCTGCCGCCGAGCTCACCTCACGCGCCAGGGTCACGTGGTCACGTGGACTCAATTGATTGGGCCACTGTGCGCGTGACTGCGCCTCCCTTGCTCCCCTTGTTGTGTTTATCCACGTAGATGTTCCATACTCTGAGGCAGCCTTCTTCTGTACCCGACTGTTAGTTTGCTCCAGCGAGGTCACGTGGTACAGGACCATGCGCGCACGCCCGCCTCCACCCGCGCCCGCGCTGTTCCGGGACTCGGCGGCCGCTATTTCTCCGGGCGAGTCTTGGAGTATGATATCTCCTCCCTTCCCCTTCCTCCCCCCCCCCTTCTCTTCTTCACCCGCTTCTGCCCCCCTCTTCGTCTTCCCCCTCCTCTGTGAGAGGAGAGATACGGCAGGGCTGCCCCGCCCCGGCCACCCACGGAAGCCGGCCGTGCAGCGTGGTCAATATTTTTTTGCGGCTTCAGGCTTCAGGTGACGCTGTCGACCGGTCGCCGTCGTTGGACGCTGGCGGAATGACAATGCGTGTTTTGTACAGCGAAAGTTGTGGTGGCGGCTCCCGACCGGCTGGCGGCGTCCTTGGCCGCAGCAGCATAGAAGGCTAGCGCAGCCGGCCGCACACCGCGCCCTGTCGAACGATTCTGAGCGCCGCAGAAATTATAAAACTTGCGATACTAATTAGCAAGCATGGTCTGTTCTGCTGCCGGGCAAGATGGGGGGTGGAAGGGGGCGTCTCGACCAGCAGATCGAGGTGAAGGAGAGGGCGGGGGGCGGGGAAGGGCAAGGGTTGCAGGCCCTGATTGCACTGTAAATCCGGGTTGTCCAGCAGGTAGGCGACATAAGTCGCCTGACCCGCAAAACTAGGCGACTTATGTCGCCTATCTGCTGGACACTCTCTGGTTTTCCGGGTAAATGCATGGGCGCAATAGGTGGAATGCCTATGGACTCATACAATGCAATTACCCGGAAGAACAGAAAGTGTCCAGCAGATAGGCGACATAAGTCGCCCAGTTTTGCGGGTCAGGCGACTTTGTCGCCTACCTGCTGGACACCCCGGATTTACAGTGTGGGCTTCCTGGCACACACATACCCTTATTCCCTCTGTACCTAACCCAAAAGCGCGCACTGAAAGTACCTGTTCGAGCGAGAAAAGCTAGAACCTGGTGGGAAGCCGTGGGTAACGGGTCCCATCATAGGCCCCACACCCAGAATAAAAATGATTACATGGAATGGTTAATTCAGGGAGCACCAGAAAACATTATCGTGTTTTGCGAACCATAAATGCGGTTTCCATCACGTTGTAATTGTTGTTTTAACTATATTTCATGGTACACACGCACACACACGCGCACACACACCTACACACACGCGCGCGTAGGATAAAGATTGATGCGTGGCTCCGAAGCTCCGAAGCCACGGAGGAGAGTGGCCTGGATCTCACGGCAGTAGGTGGCCCGTACCTCGCTTCGCGGCACACACAATGCACTTATCCGCCTGCAGCGGGTTCAGCGGAGAGCGGGGGAGAGGGTGGAGAGTTAAAGGAAACAAAGAACAGAGGCATCCCTGGAACTTTAGGTCCGCTCCGGTAAAACGTTGTACAGGACTCCGAGGAGGGTGGGGTTGTTGGGGGGGATCTAGTGGAGTGGTGGAGGGGTGGGGAGAGTTTGGGGGTGGAGCGCCTCGGCTGTCTACATATCAATAATAAGAGGGAAAGAAACACGCGGGCTCGCGGCAGCTGACGTCACCGTGACGTCATCCGGTGCGCTCCACCCCTTTCCCTAGGATGCATGTATACGATCCCCTGGGGGCTGCTTTGCTTATATTCACAGGTAGGACTTTTCACAGTCTTTACTGGAATTACATCGCATCTCATCCTTTTTAAAGTGTTGGGCTCTCTAAAACTGCTAGTCTCTCCCCTTGCGCTGGCGTTCCCTTGATGAAGGTCTCGGTGGTTTAGGGGGTGGGGTGCACTCGGGGGCTGTGTCCGGGACACTCTGGCCTTTTCACGCGGAACTTTCGCTGGGCTATCGATACCTCTCGAGGCTCAAGACGCTCTCGGTGGGCGCGGGAAAGGACAAGGAGGGGGGGGGGAGGGGCGCCGTCGTTAGGGCTTGTGGTCTATGACCAGCGGGGATCGATGGAGGAACCTTGAATCACTTTCAGCTCGCTTTCAGTGGCGGCCTGCTGCTGCGCTGAGTGACAGCTTGGGGCGTTGTGTTGGGAGCCGTTTGGGGCGGACAGGGCTGTGCACCTAGCCTACAGGGTCCCAGGCGGGGGGCGGG